TTTCCCTCCCTCCTTCCCTCCGTCTCCCTCTCCCTTTCCCTCCGTCTCCCTCTCTCCCTCCCTTTCCCTCCGTCTCCCTCTCTCCCTCCCTCTCCCTCTCCCTCCCTCCCTCTCACACGCTGCCTCCCTCCCGACCAGATCGGACAACGGCTACTACCCTCAAGTGACGTGCGTGAACAAGACGTGGGTTGGGTTCCCGAGCGAGTGGCGCTGCATCAGGAACGACGCGCCGCTGAAGGAACCCGTGGTGGTTGTGGACGAGACGGAGCTCAACTACTTCTTCGTCGTGACCGTGCCTTCTGTGGGCGGTGAGCGTGTTGTTTGGTTGTTGTTTGGTTATTTTTAGTTTCAGCTCTCTGTTTGTTTATATTTTTGTTCTTGTTTTTTTTTTTTTTTTTTTTTTTTTTAGGTATGGATTGTTCGGATAGTCTTTCAATGTTTTGTGCGTTTTTTTCCTTATTATCACTGTGGCTTTCTTTGGAACTTTCTTTTTATCATTTTTTTTATTTTATTATTTATTGTTTTTTTTTTTTTTGAGAGGGCGATATTTTTTCTATGTTTGGTTTGTTCGAATATATATATAGTCACTGTTTTTTTCGTTATTATCACTGTGGCTTTCTTTGGGACGATATTTTCTTTTTATTTATTTACTTATTTTCATAATTTTCTTTGGGGGCGATATTTTCTTTTTATCTATTTATTTATTTTCATTTTTAATTTCTTTGGGGGCAATATTTTTTTGTTTGGTTTGTTCGGATATATAGTCACTTTTTGTGCTTTTCGTTATTATCACTTTCTTTTGATTTATCTATTCATTTATTTTCATTTTTTTTTCTTGGGGTGGCGATATTTCTTTTTTGTTTGTGTTGGGTTTGTTCGTGATATGTGAATCAGTTTTGTTTTTGTTTTTTTTCCGTTATCATCACCATGACTTTCTTTCGGGCGATATTTTCCTTTTTTACTTTTGTTCGGATATAAGAGTCTTTCACTATTTTGTTTGGCTGTTTTGTTGGTATCATTAATTTTGTGGTTATTTTAATTCATGATTCAATGGTTGATTCTTGATTTACGAGACGCCTTTTGTGGTCGGTGAGGATTTTTTTTTAATTCTCTTTTATTGGTCTGTTCTTTCGCTGTTTTTGTTTGTTTGTTTCGTTATCTCTCTACCTTTGTTGTTAGATTTTAATAGATTAATTAAAACTTCTTTTCTTCATTTCACAATTGTAAATCCATTCCTTTGCCTTTTTATTTGAATATATACAAGTTCCTTGATGTTTGCCAACTAAACAAAAATTGATATTGATACCTTTTATAGCAATACTCCCACTTTTAATTCCCGGCCCTAATTTTCTAAATAACGAAGAAACAGAATGACGATATAAAATATCAATCACCCGCATATTCTTTTTCTTTCTTTCTTTTTTCTCCTTCTCTCTCTCTCTCTCTCTCTCTCTCTCTCTCGCTCTCTCTTCTCTCTCTCTCTCTCCTCTCTCTCTCTCTCTCTCTCTCTCTTCTCTCTCTCTCTCCTCTCTCCCTCCCTTCTCTCCCTCCCTCCCTCCTCTCCTTCCCCCTCCCTCCCTCCCTCCCTCCCTCCCTTCCTCTCTCTTTCTCCTTATCTCTAACCCCCACTCTCTTATATCAAGGCCTGGTGCTCGTGATCATCTTCTGCCTGTGCTGCACAAGGACCGACTCGCCACTCTTCAACATTTGCAGCGCGAAGGTCAGCAAGCACTACTCGAAGGCGTGAGGTGGGTGGAGCCAGCGAGACCACGGACAAAAGCGTACAAAAACACGGACAAAGAAAAAATAGAAAAGCTAAAGAAAATAGAAAAGCCAATACCACGGACGAAATCTTTTTAAAAAGCAGGGACAAAAACAGAAAAATAAGAAAAATAAGAAAAGCCAAAGGAAAACCACAAAGCCAAAGATATGTTTGATTCGCGGTTAAGTCGGTTGCCCAAAAAGGATGATGCATGGCGACATTTGCGAGAATTCAGAGCATTATATCATAGGATGTAATTTTTCTTCTTGTACTTAAAGCTTTAAGATGCGAGAGAGGGAGGGGGTTGGGACAAATAATGGTACACGAGATGAATTGGAACTTTGACAAATGGCGGACTTCATTTTTAAAATACTCTGGCTGTTACTGTTTAACTTGATTCTTGTATTTATTTCCATTTACCTTTGAGGTAATTGAAGCATATTTCCTTCTTGAGGTTTGGACAAATTCTACCTGGAAAGATTCATTTTCCTTATCGCGTCAAGTTCTAAAATAAAGGCCTGATTTCTTCATGCTTGCCAGAACCTGATGAAACAGTTTCTTTGAGAATATTCCTAAATTGCTGGCATAGCAATATTCCAACAAATTAGTGTGTTTGTCAAAGCTCCTATTCTCATAATTTTACTTTGAGAATTTAGGGTTTTTTTCCACACCAGCGGGTATTATCAGAGGGGCCTGAAAAGGTGACCTCTCAGGAGATAAACAAGGGAATTACTGGTCTATTTGATTATTTATCTCTGTGACAACAAGTACCCACCAATAACGCCTGCTCATATGGACAGGCTGTACGGGACGAGCTTATGTATAAAAACCGAGTTTTAGTTAGGCCCAAGAGCACAATTTGCCACGACACGAGTGATCATTTCTCCACGGCCTTGCTCACACCCCATTCCACATAGCACACGGTGGATTCACCGATTGTGCCTTACTCAAAACTTAAAAATGCTCATTGGAATACCTGTGATTATGATGAACTAGAAAATGGTTACTTTGCGAGTTCACAGAATATGTAGTAAGGTTTACATTATCTTTGCCTTGGTGTTTCCCTGAAGTAAAAAAAGGTATATGTAATGTTTGAAAAATCATTTTGTTTCAAAATGCAGAGGGTTCTGTTCTATGTGGCAAGTCTGTGTGAATTAGCCTTTTCTTGTTACATTGTGTGGAATTGCCAGTTAAGACGAAAAAAATGTATTAGTAACAATTGTTCAGGCTAAATATAAACTTAGTTACTTGTTTGTTTGTTTTTCAAGCCTAAATATTTTTTGGTTGATATAAAACAGGTAAAATATGTATTACACATTTATTCCATGTAGCATCTCACAAAATATATAAAGAAGTCTTATAAACAAGCTACACAGTATTTGTGTCATTCAAAAATGACAGGACATCACGGACTATCCCAAAATGCCTACAAAAGTTAACTATTGAAAAATAAGTATCACAAACATAATGAGTTTTTGTATACGACTCCAGCAGACACACACCACCACACACACACTTGTGACTTCACGCTGGAATTTGTGATCATTATATACAGAATTCTACCCGGGCTACTAAGCTCTTGCACGAGATTTCATCACGGAAACTTTATTGTACATTCAGCACTTATAACATGTATTTAGGTTCTACTCCTACAAAGGTAAATTTCATCCTTGCTTCAAAGTGTCATCAGGTGTATTTATATATACATGTGAAATCAGTGATGGATCTTGCACGAAAGATTCCACATCCGTATACAGAGTGAAGAAAGAAGTAACAGCTCAGTTTTAGTTGCTAGCAGCCCGTAAGAAGTAATAAAACCAGTGAAAAAAAAAAAAATCATTTACAGCAGTAGAAGAGGCAAAAACAAGACAGATGTGATCAAGGAACAAGAACTGGAACTGTTCACACAGTAACAGTCTTTTGCCGAGAGAAATATAAAAGATCTCGATAGATATCACCTTGCTCACAGATGCACACATCAGTAAAAAATTGAAAGACTAACAGAACCTGCTACTTTGCCTCCTGTCAAACACCCAAACAACTCAGCTCTTGACAGATTTCTCTTGGGCATCGAGCTCCTGGTACCGGTGGAACATCATCTTCTTGACGCAATCCTTGTAGCTGTCCCCGACCACGCTGTAGGTGCTGCCCTGCATCCCGAGGCCAGCAGTGGCCACCCTTCTCTCAGTCTCAATGATGGACGTCCGGCCCTGATTCGCCTTGCCCAGCCCCTGCCCATCAGTCCAGCCCATCTTCTTCAATAGCTTGTTTCCGATGTTGTCACTGCCAATGCCTTGTTTGGTTGGCTCTTCATACTTGGTAGCCTCGACCTCTTCCCGGGCGGCCATGTAACGTTCCTGGGGGAGGCAGCTTCGCGTTAAATAATAAAATCATCCATTCATAACTAAAATTTTCCTTGCTATAATCCACATAAGCATTCTTCATAATGATATAGTTCACAGAAATATCCTCATGCATGCAACAGCTAAATATATAGAGAATCAGATGATCCCTTTCAAATGAAACATGCATACAAAAGTACAGAAAATCAATAATAATTCCTAAATTATTCTCTCCTCCAAATGCAAAGATAAAAATTTAAAGCCTCTGATCAAAATAAAAGTGATTATCTTGTCCAACCACTCATTACTATCCAATAAATTGGAAGTAAGAATTCCTCTCAAGAAGACAGTAGTCTATTATGAACCTTGAGTTTGTTGGGTGCAGGTACACTTGGCTCGCCATACTTCTGCCGCCTCTCCTTGGCTCTGTCTCTGTACTGGGCCGCAGTCATTCCTCCTAGTCCACCTGCACCATCACCCGACCCTCTTGACTTCCTCATGGCTTCCAGGTTGGTTTTGTGCAGGTCTGAGAGCTGAACGTGTCTGCAAAACAAAAACTGGCTTATAGAAATTTATCTTTCTTTTTTGCACATACAACCTTCATGTAGAAAACAAAACCAAAAAGCTTGCAATAAAAGACAAACAAACGGTGCTACAAAACAATTTCTCCCTTTAGTCCTTACCTGCCCAGAGCCTCTTTGTTGGGGAACTGTCTCTTGCACAGTAGACATGCCATTTTAGTGTAGTCGACTAGTTTCTCTTCCAGTCTCTCCTCTCCACCCATACCCCCTAGGCCAGCTCCAGTCTCCTCTTCACTGTCACTGCCCTCTCCTCCATATGCTGCGACAAGGCCTGATTTCTTCATGCTTGCCAGAACCTGATGAAACAGTTTCTTTGAGAATATTTCTAAATTGCTGGCATAGCAATATTCCAACAAATTAGTGTGTTTGTCAAAGCTCCTATTCAGAACCAAACTTACTGGTGCAGAATCCTTCTTCATGTGCATCTGGAAGACCTGAGATTGCTTCTCGACAAGTGAAGCACGGTCTCTTCTTTCCAAAAGCACGGCAAAGGCAGCATCAGCAGCTCCCGTTCCACTTCCTTCTCGGGAGCCTCCAGCAGGTTCAGCTGTGGCAGCCTTCCCTGTTATGGCACTTTCATTCCTCTTATTCTGAGCCTTGGCCCATCTTTCCATATCTTTTGCAATCTTCTTGGCAACTTTAACCTGAAAATGCACATAACATTGGCAACAAATTAGTGAAGCCCATGAGCCACAGCAATAGTGACAACAAAATACCTCTGCAATCCATAAAATCTTCCATGAGTGTTTACCAACCTTGTCCTGCTTATCTTTCTCCTTCTCTTTCTTATCCCCCTTCTTCCCCTCATGGCCATCCTCCCCAACAGGAGCTGGGAGGTAAGTTGACTTCTCTGCATCCCAATAGAGATACTGGCCACTCAGCATTGTAGTAGTATTGCTGCTGGCATCATAGTACAGCGTGGTGGAAGGATCATAATAGTAACCTGAGGTTTCATCATACTGGTATGTGCTGACATCAGGGGGAGCTGAAATTGGCCAAAAAATATATGTATATATTATTTATATATATATTATTCACAAAATATAAATGAACAAATAAATAAATGTGTTTAATTCTACATCCCTTTTTCCTGACCCCTAATCAATTTTTCTTTAGCCATCTACACTAGCTCACTCCAACTTACGGTAAGTAGGATATTCTCCCGTTTGTAGCTGAACTCCATCATAATTGGCAGAACCAGGTGTAGTTTGTGTCACTGTCTGGTCAGTGGTTGTTGGTGCAGTTGTGGTAGGAGTGCTGTAAGTACTCTGTGATGCTGCTGCTGCAACTGCTGCTGCACCGCTTGTTGAGGTGTTTGCTGCTGACTTTTGCTGCATAGCTTGAAGGGCAGACTGTGCAACCGCCGCTGCAGCATTGACTGAATCTGACTGATTTGAACTGCCTTGTTGTTGTTGATTTTGGATAAGCCTGGAAAAAGAATGAAAGCAATTAAACAAGTTGTTAGAGGAAAAACGTTTATATCCACACTCATCCACCAGATTGTTTAAGCATGAAATTTAATTTCCTTCTTTATCCTGTCTAGGAAACCTAATTCAGATGTCCTTAGTACCTGTGCCTGTTGTTGGTAGTACATGGTGTAATACTGGACATAGGACGCATGCTCCTCTGGGGTTTGGGCATACAAAGAGGCACTGTACTCTGCAAGCTGTTTGATGTCAGCACCTGCAGTGTACTCTGCAGGCTGATGGTACTGCTGCTGTTGCTGCTGCTGTGCTGACCAGTTGTTACCTGAAATTATATTATTGATTCCTATAATATGATTACCTTTCTATGAAATATCAAGATCACATTATACAAGTATCCATAGTTAAACTTATTGGGAACATCACTAGCCAGGGGAAAACTGAGAAAAACAAGAATGGGGAATCATTACCATTGCCATTATTTGGGTTCAGTTTGCAGTAGGATATGGTGACCTGTAAAGAGAGATTATCAAATCAGCTTTACCATACTTAAAGAAAATTATATTTGAGCGCAATTTGATATAAATCACATTCTATAAAGTAGGATATATTACCTGCTTGCCATCAATAGTGGGAGGTGCATGAGCAAGCTTATTGTGCAACTGCATCGAGTCTAAGACGGAATTTAGCTCAATGTAGCACACTCCTCGAGAAGTGTTGGTGAGGGGATCCCTCCCTATTCGGACAGATCTTATGGGCAGGTCACTTCCCACATGCTGGATGCCTTGGAGAACGCTCTCTTCTGTACTAAGGACATCTAGTCCGCGCAGGAGCAAAGCTGAAGAGGAAAAGTATATTTACTCCTACTTTGTCACATGCTTACAAAAGAATGCATTTTATCATCCCTGCTTATTAATAAAAGGATTTGTCTAATCAGATTTTCATTTCATTTTCCAATGAATGTTAGTCAAGGTACTTACTATTGGTTGGGTAGGTACACACTTCGTCACTGCCTTCTTCACCAGCTTCAGACTCGTGCCGTGGGGCCGAGCATTTGAAGCAGGAATCACGACGCTTGAAGTTATGAGCACCACACTGAGTAAATAAAAAACAGGATAAATGAGAGCTGCTCTACTTTCATAAAATCAAAAATCCAAATTCTAATCACATGATATATTATAGTAACAGAGACCATTATATCTGACAAAGATAATTTGAAGTTTGTCAAGAGAGAGGTGTGTCTTACCCTGATACAAAACCAGTCTTTGTGATGCTTTAGATTGCCGCTCGGAGGATTCCTTGGGGATGGAATACTGCAAAGTTGCTCTGTACACATCTTGCAGGATAAGTACACCCTGCAAAAAATACCCACATACACATTAGAAAATGGTCTTGGGCAAAATTTTAAAGTCTTACATGAGCTGCAACTTTTGGACTCCAGTTCAGCCTCGAATGAGCCAGGAAAAGCTAATCCTACAGGTATGTCTGCCTTCAGGTCAACCTAGAATCTGTTCTCTGACTATCAGTGATGTGACAAACTAGCAGTGAGGGCAGGGCTGGGGAGGGAAGGTTTGAGCATTACACCTGTGTAAAAGCTCTTCCCTGAAATCCCAAAATAGGGCAGTACTGGTCAAAAGTCGCACGTCTCAACCTACAGAGGAAGGAGTGCCAACACCCTGGCTGGAGGAGGAACCGTGGTGCCGAGACTTTGTTGTTGTGGATGTTCGGGTGAGCACGTTTACTGTAGTGGTTGTTGTTGCTGATGCTGTTAAAAGCAGAGGTCCCGCAGGGTAGCCCTTATCAGACTTGCTCCTTGGATATTTTCACCTTTCATTGGGAATGGTATTACAGTGGCAACTAGTTTCACTGACTGTTGCAAGCATGCATCCTTGAATGTGCTCTCAGGGTACTCCAGAGGTAAAGCAGTGGGATATACTAAGACCACCTCTTGGATGCAAGAATTATACACTAAAGGAAAGCGGAAGGATGCACTATCTGACACAAAGAGGGAAGGTAAATACTGCATATAATTATGTAGAGAAGTAGATAGATATATACATAACACTTAAGCATTTCCTCGTTAAATCAAATCCAACAACATGAGTCTAGGGAGCTTTAGTTACCCCGTGGCAGAGGTGGCCTTCATTATGTATATCCCTGGCCATGCTCTAAGTGTTAATAAGCCACTGCCTTAGACAGCTGAGCAAAAAATCTAGTCTTAGGTTCACTGAATCCTAGGTCAGCTTAAACTACTAATGTGTTCACAATCACCCTTTAACATTCATACCATGAATAAAGGAAGGTCATGCTTACATAAATACAGTATCAAGGAACAAAAATGAGCAAGCGTAACTTTAAAAAATATATAAAAAAAATTAATGGAAAAAAAAAAACAGAAAAAAAATATATTGTGCACTCCAAGTGATGTAAGACTGAGGTTTAAAATACAAGTAAGGATGAGGGGCCATACTCTCATAACGCACATGTACAATAACTGGTCAAGGTCTAACATTAATAGTTCCTCACAGAAAGTGACACAAGTTATCTGACTCAACATTGGAAGCAAAATTACAAGAGGAACATAATGGCTATGATGGTATTGAGGAAGAGGTAAACCCAGTGTTACTGGCAGAGTTGGCTGGGCCGTGACCCCTTGGCCGCGGCCAGGGGTCCAGAGGCCCTGCCGGGGGAACTGCCGGGGGCCGGGCCGGGCCGGCGGGGATTCACCGCGATACCTGTTTGGCTTCCATCCACCGTGTGGCGTCATGTACCGTCGTAAACTCCACGAAGGCAAAGCCTCTTGATGCACCTAGACGCAAGAACACACACAAGCAAGTGTTAATAATGATGTTCTTAAAGAAGGCGTGAGGGACACTCAACGTGGCACCCTCAAATGGCCGTGAGTTGGCCCTGTGGCCACATCCAGCCACTCTATGCTCACCTCGCTGGCTCTGCTACCATTTAACAATAATTTACATGGCCTCTTCCAAGTCACAGGGGCCACAAAATACCAACACAAGTTATAAATACTGTATTGGTTGACAATACTTTAATAAACTCTCATTCAGCACACTGACACACAATACTCCTGCTGTGACATCATGGACAACCACACCTGTTGATGCCTCAGCCACACAATTCAATGCTCCCACTCACTCCAAGCACACAGTCACATATGAGCCCTCTAGGTGTTCAGGGACAGTTGTTTGTCCCCTACAGCTGCATCTCCGGTTCAATCTTACAAGGGGTGAAGGTACAGTGTGTAAGTAAACATTTATATAAACACACACAAACTGGATTTAAGGTTAAATGTTTCTCTTTACATATTCCTTTTTCCAAATTTTGTTGAAACTTTATGCACAGAGCTGGCATGCTTAAAAAATACATGTAATGAAAATCAACTAAATTTATTAATTATACTTTCACTATATAATATTCACCATTACTGAAACCAAATGTCAAATTCCTTAAGCAAGTACTAATAAAACATTAAGAGCAGCAATGTTATGTCCTATCCATTATTCTCTAGGTACTCACACCTTTAGAAGAAGAGAATAAAATAATGATGATAATAATGATTAAAAAAAAAAAAGTTGACAACACTGCTGATCTGCTGACCAAGTGTAGTCGCCTGGAAAAGTTTTTGGATTTAGTGCGCGCACATCTACAAACTCTGCTTTTCTCCCGTCCTTATATACTCCTCTTTGTTTTATTAGCATTTGTCTCTCTCTCTTTTCAGAGCTTGCGAACGTGTATGTGCGTGAGACCCTGTGACCTGGTACCCCTTTCAGCCAGCGAGATTAGCATGCGTGGACAGGAAAGAACATGGATAACAGAAATTGGGAACTAAAACATAAAAACTGAGGATTCTGGGAGTTTTAAGGCCCATGGGAATGTTCATTACCTGACTCCTTTTTCCTGACGAGGCGGATATCCTTTGGCATTAGGTTGCATGCTAGGATGTCTGCCCGGATCTGAAGAGGGAGAAAGTTGGATTTAGAGTAGTTTATGACATGATTTCCATAACAAAATATTTAGCAATAAATCTAAAAATTACATCAATAACAATAATAACAAGAATAATATAACAATAAAATGCGAACAGTAACTGGTAAGTGATAATGATATCAATATGCAGAAACTTTAACAACACTGAAGGTAATCAATCCTTTATTCGTCATTCCTAAAGGTCTTAAACCTCACGAAAAGTTAAAAATATGAGCGCAGAGACTCACATCATTCTCTGTGATGTGTTGTGCAAGTCCCCTGACCATGATAGTGTTGTTAGGTGGCTGCGACTTATAATCTGTCCTTTCATCTTCATAACTGCAATAAAGGAAAAAACAAATCTGTTAGAAA